CCAGCGAATGCATCAGCAATACCAACTGAGGCGTCGACATGGCTGCCGATGCCGATGGAGGCATCCGTCGGGATACCAAGGGAGGCAGTGACAGGGCTACCAACACTAACTAAGGTATCAACAGGGCCAAAGGAGGTCTCAACGCCAAAGGAGGCATCGCCAAGGCTACCAACGCCAAAAGAGACATCAACAGGGCTACCAACGCCAAACGAGGCATCACCAGGGCTACCAACGCCAAACGAGGCATCACCAGGGCTACCAACGCCAAACGAGGCATCACCAGGGCTGCCACCGCCAAAGAAGGCATCAACAGGGCTACCAACGCCATCGGCCACGCCCCCGACGGGGAACCCAGCGTCGGCGGCGTCTCCCCCGCCGCCTCCGAACCCAACAGCCTCTCCCCGAGGAAGTCCGACGCCAACATCGCCTCCGCCTGAGCCTGCCGCGGAGAAGGAGTCAGCAAGTCCTCCGGCCGCACTCAGTCCACCCTGGCCCCCTACTCCTCCATCGGGTGCATCAAAGCCCGCCCCGCTACCTAATCCACTTCCCGCTTCACCTAATCCGTCTGCCACTCCACCGACAAGTGCAGAGGCGACAGCACCATCGAAACTTGTCAGTCCTCCATCAAATCCACTCAGGTCACTGCCAAGGCCACTCAGCTGACCGTCAAGAGCACTCAGCCCATCTAGGCTACTTAATCCACCGCCTGATCCACTTATGCCACTTAATCCACCATCGAGACCGCCGAATCCACCTATTCCACCATCAAAGCCACTTAACCCACCATCAAAAGCACCTAATCCACCATCCAATCCACTGAGTCCACCTTCGAGACCGGTTAAAGCAGCACCAAAGGAACCTAATCCGCCACCCTCAAAACCACCCAGTCCACCATCTATGTTTCCAGCCCCACTAAAGCCATCAAGTCCAGTTAATCCAGGATCAAACCCACCTATTCCACCATCAAGGCCACCCAATCCACCTAATCCATCATCAAAACCACTTAATCCACCATGAAAATCACCCAGTCCACCGTCAAGGCCACCGAATCCACCTTCGAAACCACTTAATCCACCATCAAGGCCACCCAATCCACCTAATCCACCATCAAAACCACTTAATCCACCATGGAAATCACCCAGTCCACCATCAAGGCCACCGAATCCACCTTCGAAACCACTTAATCCACCATCAAGGCCACCCAATCCACCTGATCCACCATCAAAACCACTTAATCCACCATGAAAATCACCCAATCCACCATCAAGGCCACCGAATCCACCATCGAAACCACTCAGTCCACCATCAAGGCTACTCAATCCACCAAGGGCACCTGATCCACCATCGAGGCCACCAACTCCACCAAATCCATCTGCAAAGCCTCCATGTCCATCAAACGAATTTACTCCACCAGCGAAGCCATCAAATCCACTTCCTCCTCCTGTTGATCCCCCGCCACCATCACCAACACTAACACCTGCTCCTCCTCCGCTTCCACCTCCACCTCCTTCTCCACCTCCTCCGCTTCCTCTTCCTTCACCTACTGCTATGTTATTACCGCCAAGAAGAGGAATTCCTTGAGGCTTCAGCTCGCCCACCGAAGCTCCAGCCACAATCAGGGCCGCGACTGCCACCAGATGCTCCAAAGGCTGAAATCACAACGATTAATAGACAGAGTAGGGAAGGGTTCAGTAATAACCGCCGGCGGCAAAGATTAATACACTTGTCAACAGCCGTTTTTAAAAATCACTGCTGTCACCATTTTACTAGTATTACCAATATATAGTTGGTCCCATATCCAAGTGGACACGGAGGGCATGTGCGTGGAAGGAATGTCGTAAGTCGCGGACTGATGCGACAGGGTGGCGAGTTCCTTTCCACTCCGACTTTGGCCCCTGCAAGTTGATGCCAATACTCTCACAGCTGAGTCGACTGAGGAGGGACAGTCGGGCGCGAACCCAGAACCTAACGATTGCAAAGCTAGCGCTCTACTGAGCCATGCCATCTCCACCAGTATCAATATTGTTGTAATAGTTATGATAACTAGTATCATTATTATTGTATTGATATCACGGTTGAAGTTATCATTATCCCTTTTAACTTTATGATAATCACCAGCATTATTACCATTATCGTTTTGCTATATTCATTATAAGTATCATTATTGTTACCATAATTATCATTATTGTTGATATTGCAATTGATATCATTATACTCTTATAAATGCTTTTATTATAATTATTGGTATTCATATCATTCATGCTATTACTTTTATTATTAGTAGTACTTTTATCACTATCACTATGCCATATATTTCTTTCGTCATGGTGTTCATAATCGTTATCATTGCCATCATTTTAACACCATCATCGTTACCAGCACATTATTAACATCATCCTTATCATCAGAACCGTCAAAATAATCTTCAGTGTGACATCAGTATAAACAAGACCAAATGATATCACAGAATAATGCCCGCGTTTTGTCTTTTTATGTGTGA